ACTGCGATACCTCCTGCTGTTGGTTTTGGGCACTATTTTTCCATTCCTCTTCTTGTAGGATTTTGCCCAAAATGCGTTGCAGTGCTGGTTTTCTGGCTGCGAATTCTTTTAGTTTTTGTTTATCGTGAAAGATTTTAATTTCATTGTCAAATCTGAACCTTAATTTTGCTGGATACAGTATTCTTGGTTGAAGACCATTATTTTTCAGCATTTGAAATATATTGTTCCAGGATCTTCTCGCTTTCAAAGTCTGTGATGAAAAATCAGCCGTTAACCTAATTGGTTTACCCCTGAATGTAATCTGCCTCCTTTCCCTCGTAGCATTTAATATTCTCTCCTTCTTCTGTATGTTGGCTATCTTCATAATTATATGTCTTGGAGTTGGTCGATTACAGTTTTTGGATGTTTGGGGTCCTGTAGGCTTCCAGGATTTGGCAATCCATTCCATCTTTCATCTCTGGGAAGTGTCCTAGGATTATTTCATTTAATAGGTTGTTCATTCCTTTGGTTTGAACCTCTGTGCCTTCTTCTATCCCAATGACTCTCAAATTTGGTTTTTTGATGAGATCCCATATCTCTTGGATAGATTGCTCATGAGATTTAAGCATCTTTTCAGTGTTGACTATACTCTTTTCAAGTTGATAAACTTTGTCTTCATTATCTGATCTTCTGACTTCTACTTGATCTAGTCTGTTTGTAATATTCTCGTTAGCATTTTTAATCTGGTTTATGGTTTCTTGCGTTTCTAAAATTACTGTTTTTTTTTAAGATCTCTATTTCCTGGTAAAGCTCGTTCTTTGCAGTTTGAATTTGTTTGTTTAGTTCATTTTCAAAATATACTTTCAATTCTTGGGCTTGCTGTCTCATGTCTTCTCTAAAATTCCGTTCCATCTGAGTTAGGTATGCCTTGATTTCTTTCCCTGTCCATGTTTCTGATGCTTCTAGGTCCTCCTGTAGATTTAAGTTGTCCTGCATTATCTGTAATCCTTTTTTCCCTTGTTTTTTCATGTTATTCACGTTACTTTCCAGCTCTGTTTGACTGCTTTGTAACTGCTTTCTCCTATACATTTGTTTTGGCTTTGTTTATCTCTGTTGTCTCTCCTTTGTGGTGGGAGATTATGCCTATAGATGTTGGGCTTTATTGTACTTTAGAGGTGATTCATTCAATTTATAAAGTGCTATTGGATTTTGTATGCATATAGTGATTTGTTTTTTGTTCTTAGGACTTCAGGTTAGGTGCTATTTAGGTATAAGGGTTAATATGTCTTGGCTACTTTAGAAGATTGCTCTATTGAAGGGGGATACTAACCGTTGATTGGATCAGGGTGTTGGTAGTAGCTAGGTATTTAGGAGCACTATAGACGGTTTCGAAACATTCACCTATTTGCATTTACACAGTTACACGAAATGGAGGACGTAATGCTTGGGATGAAAGTTGGGGGGAAGGGGAAGGAAGGTGCTCTTGAAAAGAAAGAAGGAGAGGGAGATAGATAGCATAGAGAAGAATGGAAAGAACAATAAAACTTGGAAGGGGTGGGAAAGAGGGAAAAGGGAGAGAAAAGATAAAATAAAATAAGAAATAAAATTAGGTCTTAGAGATCCATTTTCTTCTCTTCCCGTAGGCAAAGCTGTGCCCCCGGGCTGAGTTTTGCCCTCAATGTGTCAACAGCAATCCCTGTAAGGTGGCTCCTGGGAGTCTCTCAATCCTGTTGGTCCAGAGCCTTTCACTTCTGCAGCCCCTCCTCCCCTTCCTCCTGCCAGCCAGCCAGGTCCTGCTCACCGGAGGCGGTTCCCCAAGGATTTGGTTACACTTTCAGCCCCACCAAGTGCTCTATTTCCCTAATGACTGAGCACTCTCTCTGTCATTCATCTAAGCCCCAGTGCTGTGGAGCTGTGGTCTGGGAGTCAATAGTTTAATTTCTCCAGACCCCTTTGGTGGGCACACCTTCGGAATCTGGCGGCTAAGACCATTGGTGTTGCTGCTGGTGCTAATGGGAGTTGGGGGTTGAGGATGCCCTCTGCTTCCCTCAGCCCCTACAATCACGACCACTCCACTGTTGGTAGGAGGAGTTGGGGGTCTGGAGTGTCCTCTGTTTCCCTCCGCCCCTACTGTCACGCCCTCTCAGTTGGCGGTTGGGGGAGTTGGGGGTGGGGAGTCTTCTCTGCTTCCCTTTGCCCCTACAGTCACGCCCACGTCACTGGCAGTAGGGGGAGTTGGGGGTCGAGAGTCCTTTGGCCCTTACGGTCATGCCCACGGAGAGATTTTGAAGTTTCCCGGTTGTTTGTATCTGATGTGGGTAGGAGTCACACACCTGCTAAAGTAGATTCCGCTGGGAAGGAATCTCTTTGGCCGAACTTTGGTGACTTTCCCTCTCTGCTATGGTGGGCCCCTGGCTCCTTGCTGGAGTGTCCGAAGGGAGGGGTGGAACTGGCTTGTCTCTGGTCTGACACAATCTGTGGTTTTAGTTCCCAGTTCGCTCTTTCATAAAGGCTTGGTTAGATTCCTTTCACGTTGTCTCGGGGGGAGGGGGAGTCGTTTGCCGGGTGGGTGGGGCCGTTAGCAGAGCTGGGAGGGC